TCTTTCTAAAGAGGGAGATGGAATAGAGAGAAGGAAAGCGGTCTTTTAGGGGTTGAGTGCTCACCCAAATATCTTCCCAAAAAAGAATGGAGTTTTTAGAACAAACATCATACCTTACAAATCTGAGGAACTTTGGGAGAATGCCATAAATAGCCTTCCAAGGTGTTGTGAGCAAAGCCCTTCAGGATACCTCCGCGTTCCAACCAAATTCAGAACAACCATGGATACTCTTCACTACTTCATGCCACAACCTCTCCCTCTCCAAAGGCCACCTCCAAAGCCGCTTACCTAAAAGAGCTTCATTCTTACTCACCACATTCCCTAAGCCTAGGCCTCCTTCATTTTTGCTTCTACTCACCATCTCCCACCTAATCAAGTGATCTTTTTTCTCTTCCCCGGGTTCCCATAAGAAATCCCTCATCAGTTTTTCCAACCTCTTTGCCTCCCTTTTAGGAATTCTAAGACTGACAGGAAGTATAAAGGCAAGTTGGCTAGAGCTGCTTTAATCAAAATAACTTTACCCCTAGGGAAATATAGTTTCTCTTCCAAGTTGTCAATCTTTTTTCGAACTTTTCCACCACCGGGTTCCAGAACCTACTTTCCTTTGGATTTGCGCCTAAGGAAAGTCCTAGGTAGGATAGAGGCCACTGAGACCATGTGCAATCTAACGAGGCTGCTATAAATTCCATCTCCCCTCTACTCAAATTTAATCCCACAACACAACTTTTCTCAAAATTTATCTTCAAATTTGAGGCCCTCTCAAAGTGAATTATCAAATCCTTCAGATTTCTTACCTCCATCAGATCACAACCTTCACAAAAGATTATTATGTCATATGCAAATTGAAGATAGGTTACTGAAACTCTATCTCTACCTATTCTCCACCCTCTTAAGGATCCGGCCCTATCCGCTTCTGAGAGAAGTCTACTAAAAGCATCAGCAACTAAAGTGAATAGGAAAGGTGACATGGGGTCACCTTGTCTCAGACCCCTGCTAGCTGGGAAGAAACCGTTAACTACCCCATTGACTAGGATGGAGTAATGGCAAGAGGAAAGGCAACCGTTTATCCATTTGCACCATCTATCCCTAAACCCACACTTCCTTAGCACGAGAATTAAGAATCCCCAATCCACTAGGTTGTAAGCCTTTTCAATATATAGTTTACAAACATAACCTTTATGACCCGATCTCCTCATCTCCTCCACACATTCATTTGCTATTAGGATCTAATCTACTAATTGTCTCCCCTTAACAAAAGCTCCTTGGGTTTGGCTGATAAGACAAGGAAGAACCTTTTCAATCCTCAAAGATAAGACCTTAGCCAAATCTTGTATACACTAGTCACCAAACTAATAAGTCGAAAGTCCTTTGGATGCTTGGCCTTTTTCTTCTTGGGAATTAAGGCTAAAAAAGTAGCATTAACTCCACGACTAATCACTGAATTATCCTCGAATTCCTTGAAGACCTCAATCAAGTCTTCCTTGTTTATGTCCCAACAATCTTGAAAGAAAGCCATTGTGAAACCGTCTGGCCCTGGTGCTTTAGATCTGTTCATGGAGAAGACAGCTTTTCTTATTTCTTCCTCCTCAAAATTCCTTTCTAGACAGCTTCTACTCTCTTCTGGAAGCCTCTGCCAGGATAGCCAATTGTTTTGTTGACCATTTCAAAACTCCCAATTTTTCATCCCTAGAAAGATTCCATTATCACTATATTTGATCTTGGTTATTGGACTTCATCTTCTTCCACCTTTGCAAGTTATTCTAGACCATTAAGGGAGCACTTTACAACATGAATTGTTTTTTCTTATTGTCAGTTCCAAAAAGAAATCAA